GTAGTAGTAGTAGTAGTAGTAGTAGTAGTGGTAGTAGTAGTGGTAGTAGTCGTAGTAGTAGTAGTAGTAGTAGTAGTAGTAGTAGTAGTAGTAGTAGTACTATTATGATTGTAATTCGTCCCTCCAAGCTTGATTGCATGAGCATGGAGCTGAGGTCCCCGAACCTCCTTGCGAACGGGGGCGATCCGAGCATTTGGTTATTTAAGCCCATAAAGAGATGGTGCGTTTTTACACAATGCTGTAGATATGAGAGGATCTCTGTTGAGTGCCTGCTGCGGTCTGCCCGGTTGCACTCATGCGGGCTCGAGGAAGTAACCATTACAGGATGCCACGTTCTGACCCCAAGCTTCGGAAGCTTCGTATTCGGGGATGTTAAGGGTTCAGGATGTACCCCGCAGCCCACGCCAGCTTGCTTTGGAGAGGATATTGTCCAGAGAAGAACCCAGCAAATCTTCTCAGGCAGAAATTCCGACTAACCAGGACGTTATATGAGACGGCTGTGTAGTTTTGGGAGATGTATTGGAGATGTATTTTGAGGCTTAGTGATTGAGGCTCGTGGGGCTTCGAGAAGATTTTACTGTACCATGAGGGCAAAACGCGTCCAGCTCAACACACCGTGTGACTCAGCCTATTCAGCGCCCATCCCCTACTGACAAAGCCTGAACCCTAGCCAGCTGCCAGCTGCTCAGTGTGGGTTGCTTCCTATGGAACGGCCTTCGAGTCCGTATCACGTGTCCGTCAGACCAGTGCTGGTCTCTGGAGTTTTTCTATGGCTGACTCACCGGTGAGTCATATCAGTCAGATATGCCCCGCAGGCTCGGACGTGCGACGACTTTGGGGATGAGATATCGTTGCTGGTGATAAGGATTCATAAGTCAAACGCCCTCTGATCTGCGAGCTTGGGGTTTTGTGCTTGGGGTGTGGTACCGAAGGTTTGCATGGGGCAGGCTGGTGCTTCAGCAAATCGACTGTTCCGCCTGGTTCCTTCGGGGCCCCGATAAATATGCAATGCAAACACTTTGCATGTATACAGATATGAATATATACATATATACATACATACATACATACATACCCATACATATATATATATATATATATATATATATATACATTTACATACACCATATAATATAGTATAGTGTAGGAAAGTATAGGGTAGTATAGAATAGTATAGTATAGTACAGTATAGTATATGAAGTGTACAACAAAATATAGAGATGGATTTCTGAGATCCGGCGCTCTTAAGTCCGTCGCGGGCCTGCTCCGATTCTGCCTTTGGGCTTCCGTGGCGACCCTTCGAAGGAGGGCCAGAGGATAAGAGCATGTGCTCGGAAGAAACAGATCAAGACTCGATGATATTTGGTAAGTGAAGACGGTTTGTGCTGGCACTTGCTGTTCGTTGGCGCGATTGTCCGGGCAACAGGAACCGAGTGTCTGTGGCCATTGAACTGGCACGGTGCATACCCTCGGCTGTTGCTGCCTTGGTGAGATGCGAGTGGGTACCGGAGCGTTCGGTGTTATCCGCCGCCCAGCCCCCACCGCAGCTTTCGCGACTCCGTGATCTCCATGTTTGAAACCCAGTTTCTCCGGATGAGCTGAATTTGAAGGCTGTGTTGCGCATGTTGCGCATGGGCGCTTTCCTCACAACAGCTACAACCCTTGGAAACGACATTGCTGCATCCTGTGACTCCCCAACAACATTGTCCCAGACTCTTCCAATAGAATTCGTCTTGGTACATGTACCCCCAAAAGCCGTTTGATTTGCGAAGACCCAGCAGTCGATTTAAGCTCATCCGGCAGGAACCCCTGTCAAGTCTTTAGGGCATTTTAGGGCTTGAGATCTGGAACTCCGAGGCTGATCTTTCGGGCTTGGGGTTTTTTTTCGGTGTTTAGGGCTTGTCGGGCTCAAAGGCTTTTGCGGTTTGTTTGGGTGAAAAGGGCTGAACAGGGCTTGTAGGGGTATCAAGGTTGATATGGTTTAGGGGTCCCTTTGTTGCGAGGAGTCGCCTGCACGGCTTGTTGTTGCTTAGGTTCCACTGCTCATGGAGCCCAGAAGCCCAAACCGTCCCTAACCCAAAGCCACCTTGTCAGGCCAGTGTGGGTTGATTCCTGACAGACCTGACGGGGTTCTTTCGGCGAAGCCGCCCTTAAAGGAAGCTTTGCTAGGTTCAATTTCTTGACCTGGCTTGCAAGATGCAAGAGCATGTAGGCCATGAGTGATCCAAGTGCAATCTTGGAGAGCTCTTTCAATTTCTCTTGGTTTGCCGGATGAAGCGGCAACTGCTGAGCAGCGACCAAGCTTTCTAGGGGCTCTGGTTCCCGATTCTTCGGGGAGCACAGCAACTGAGCCCCCAACTCTTTGACCTCAGCAAACTACAAGAGCCCTGCATACACATATACATATGTCTCCTTTGAAGATGTTTACGATGCCTGCCGCCCAGGAAACCTGTAAGACTCTTGATGCTGAGTTTTAAGATGATTGGCTTTAAGCAGTCTAAGTGTCCAGGCCATTGTGGTGTCCTGTGCTGCTTTCGGGTTAAGCAAGGCTTGTCTTTAGTGGCCTTGCGTAACCCGAAAGCAGATCTTTTCAAAAGAGGTCGTGGATTCGATGAGGTGTGTCCTTGGGAATAGAACGGATATGTCAAGCAAGTGGATAGCTTGACCGTCAGTTTTGCCTGTCCCAGAGGACGTGCCCCGAGGGCTAGATGTCTCAGCCAGAGATTTGCGGCATACGCTGTTCTCGTTGTTTCGCTTTGCTACAGGATGGGCTTCAGGCTGTAGAGGTCAGAACTTCGGGCTTGGGAATTCAGAGCGTTTAGGTACTCAGGTATTGAAGGGTTCGAGCTCAGCAAGTCAGCTTTCGGTGTCATTCACAGGTTCCGAGCACAAGGCTTGGTTTGCCGAGGGCCCATCAGAGCGACACTACGATATGTACTGGCATTCTTGGCACATACGGCTTCATCCGGCTTCCACGAGGGGCCTGGTTCCCAGAATTGCTTCCACGTCCCGTCACGTCCCGACTGCCTTTGGAAACCGGTACCGAAAGCCATGAATGTCCAGATGCATACACCCTACTTTCTAAACGATGCATTTCGACCGCATTGGGTCCTGGCCACTGCTAAGGCCCCATGTGATCATGAGATGTTAGAACTATGTTCATCGCTTGAGCGCGAGACTCGCACAGGAATTTGATGCAGATGGTGTGAGACTCCTGGTTGTTTTCTCGGTTATCCGGTCTGCATTCAGGAGGCACTTTCACCTAGACCTCTCAGTGTGCAGCAAGCACGCAGCAGCCAAGTCGCGTCAGATGCTGCACAAACAGGTTGTCATATAGAGGCTAGCAACTCCATGCAACTCCTATGCCCAACCATCGATGCCTGAAGCCCAGTTTATGTCGGGGCAGCTGAAAGTCTTCATTCCTTGTCTTTCGTCTCTGGAGAAATCCATCGCATCTTTTCTGACTTGAAAACAAGCGGGGGATTCTTACCGGTGCAGCAAATACGCGTGTAAACTCTGGTTGCACCAAAACAAAATTCCACTTCAACGCAAGGACTTTCAGAAAGACAACCTCACACCTTCAAGCAACTTACATGGTTTTTTCTTACGCTTGCAAAGTCCACAACTTTAGAACCGCCTTGTGAATCCACTTTCAGACTCATCGCGCTTAACGTCTGTTCATCGCTTCTTCGATTTCCATCAGATTCCGTCGAATACCTCACATAAGCCAACCGGTTCGAAGGCTGGGACTCGAAGTTTTTTGCGGGTCCAGCTGCTCCTTGCGTAAGAAAACGTACGCGATAAGGCAGAACGGGGGGCGCACTTCACATGTTGTGCCAACAGCTGAGACTTACCTATAGGGCGCAGTTGCCACCCCGAGTCAGCACCGCGGTTCTGATCGTTGCACATGCCCGGCTGCTATGCTGATCCCCGCTCCTATCCAGTTCACCGACGTCCGAAACCCAAATTATAGGACAAGCTTTCCTCTTAAGACACTTCTTTAGTGTCGTATGCTGATTAGTGTACCCGTATAAGGCGAATCAGCACTTTACATTATCGGCGAACTACTTCTGCCAATGCTTACAGCTATAGTCAAGGACGTAGGGTTTGGTTTTCAGGTGTGCTCGGGCACGTTTTGTGGCAGAAAAGGTGATTGATCCCATGAGAGACTGGATGCCGTGGTCCAGGGTGTTGTAGTCAACTTATGTTGTGTTCCGTGAGTGCCTCTGTCCTCTCCGCAGCTCCTTTCATGGCCGTGACCCGGGGCCCGGGAACTTCTTAGCAAAGCGCAGCTCTGATTGGAAGCGTGCTCGTTTTGGCCCATGTCATCGAAGCCAATGCTCCTCGGACTGCGACGTGCGGTTTCAGTTGTTGCGCAGGCGAATAGGCCGTAGAGGCTGTTGGGTTGTATACTCCTTCAAGGGAACAGACATTCGAATATGTCCTGCTAGGTCAGGCGCGCGTGCAGTCAAAAGTCCGCTTCCCTTCCTTGCGCATTGCACATCCTGTCAGGGAGATGGTAAGCCGTCGCGGGCGACTTGTAGGTTGAGGCTTCGAGATTTTGACGTGTCACAGCTTCCTTGGGGGCGTTAAACCTTCTCAACTTTGCATCTGAAAGCAGCACCACAAGGCTTGAGCTCGGGGCTCTCTCTTCACAACGGAGCAGCTGTTGTTTAAACTTGTTTTTAGTCTTGCCTGCGCAACGTGCGGAAGACTCCCCGACACGAGTAAAATCCCAGGGAGGATAAGGGGAGCCGGGAGCCCTTACCAGGAAACCCTTCTTGACCCTCTTCTGGCTCTCTTAAACGGGGACCCTATTCAGAGGGTCTATATCCCCAAGGGTGCCCTAATCCTATCCCCTATAAAAGTGCTAACACCACACCCCGTTTCCCGAAGCCCGCGGCCGTGGAAGCGCTGCCTCCACCCCAAACCTGTGATTATCAACTATATCTTCCTGTTGTGACTGTTTGAGTCGCATCTTGTTTGTTTTGCATGATGTGATGGTTGGCTTAGGCAATCTAGACAAGACGGAATTGAGACCTTGTACCCACGAAACTTCCCTGAGCGAACCTGACGTAATGCCTCAAGCCCTGAAGCCTGCATCCTTTCAAGCCCTGAGTTTCTGTGAGGTTGCTGAAGGAAGACATCAGCGAAAGCTCCACCACCTTGGACGAGGTGCCTTTGACCTGGGGTTCTTTCTGGATTTAGGCTCTCGGAGTTTTGGTTTTCAGTTGCTTTGGAGCTTGGGGACTTCAAGGAGGGGGGGTGGGGGGAGAAGGGGGGGGGGGGTGTGGCAGGTTGAGGATTAAGAAACTCAAGGCCCTCTACGTTGAGGCTTTACGATTCTCGTCTCCCTGAGTCGATGAGTTACATGTCCGAATGAGGATTGGTGCGGCCTTGCATGCGTTTCTCTTGAACGTTGAAGCTTACGGTTCACGGCTCAAAGCCAACTATATTACTATGTATGTATGTGTGTATGTATGTATGTATGTATGTATGTACGTACGTCGTACGTACGTGTATGTATGTATGTATGTATGTATGTATGTATGTATGTATGTATGTATGTATGTATGGATGTATGTATATGTATATTATGTGTGTAAAGACTGCAAATACATAAACAAACAAACAAATAAATGAATAAATGCATAAAATATAAATGAGTAAGAAATACATAGAAAACATATATATATATATACATATATATATATATGTACATATATATATATATATATATATGCTCACCCCCCCCCCCCCCCCCCCATGATCTAGGTCGAAAGGCATTTCGGGCCCATCGAAGCGAGATTTAAACCTAAGTCGGAATGAAAATTAAAAGGCCACTGGCCTCATTCGTAGTAATTTTTTTTTGGAAATCTAAATTTGCCAATTAAAAGCCGCACCCTATGAAATCCTCTTCTGGGGCCTGCCTGTCCGTAACAAAATCTCACAAGAGCTTTATATGCAGAGGTTACAGCCTCAGAAATCCTCATCTGGGCTTCCTGCCTATTTTATTGAGAAAATGCTTCTACATAAGAAGCCCACACCCTACGAAAAGAATTCTATACTTAAAGGCCACACCCTATGAAATCCTCTTCTGGGCCCTCTTAATGAAATTTCAGTAGACTTGTGTCTGATAAAGCCACAGCTTCGTTCGTAATTAACCCAAGTAAAAAAACATATTAAGAGGCCCAGCCCCAAGACATCCTCTTCTAAGCCTCATTGATTAATACCTATTTAGAACATTTTTGTTTTTCCCACACCCTGTGAAATCTTTCGCTGGCCCCATTCGTACTGAAACGCAATTTGATTTCATATTGTAAGCCCACACCCTAAGAAATCCTCTTCTGGGCTTCGTTCGTAATTGAACCCAAGTAAAGCAAGTGTATATTCAGAGGCCAACCCCAGGACATCCTCCTCGCAATGAAACCGAGTTAGAATTCTATATTGCAGACCATACCCTATGAAATCCCTTTATGGCCCCTATTTGTAATGAAGATTAATTAGAATTCTGTATTACAAAGCCACACGCCAAGAAATCCTCATTAGACCTTCGTTTGTAATTAGACTTATTCTCGATTTGCCAAGATGCTTGTATTAAAAAAAGCCACACCATTCTGGGGCCTGTTCGTAACAGAATCTCGTAAGAAGTTTATAATGCTAGGTAAGAAGCCCACACCCTAAGAAGTTCTGACCTAGGCTAGGTTCGTATGTAACTCTTGGACAGAAATTTATATCATGAGCCCCCATTCGTATTTGAATGTACTTACAATTCCATATTTAACCGCTAGACCCTATGAAATCCTCTTCTGGTGCCTATTAGTGAAATGTCAATAGACTTGTATATGATAAAGCCATAGCTTCGTTAGTAAATTAAACCCAAGTCAAACAAACAAATTAAGAGGCCCCGCCACAAGACATCCTCTTCTAAGCTTCATTGGTTAATACCTATTTGGAATTCTATTTTGCAGACCACACCCTATGAAATTCTCCCCTGGCCTCGCTTCATACTACAATGTTATTTGAGGTTTGTATTAAAACGCCACACCCTAAGAAATCCTCATCTGGACTCGTTTGGAATTCCACTTAAATTGAATTTTAAGTTTAGAGGCCACACCCCTTTGGACAGAATTTAAAAGGCCACACCCTAAGACCTGTGTATGGTAAAGCCACAGCTTCGTTCGTAAAACCAAACCAAGTAAAACAATTAAGAGGCCACGCCCTTCTAAGCCTCATTCGTTACTACCTCTTTGGAATTTTATTTTACCGACCACACCCTGTGAAAGTCTCCTCTGGCCCCGCTTCGTAATGAAATGTAATTTGAGGTTTGCACTAAAACACCACACCCTAAGAAATCCTCAACTGGACTTCCTTTGTGATTCCACTTAAATAGACGTTTAAATTAAGAGGCCACACCCCAAGACATCCTCTTCGAAGCCCCACTCTTTTTTAAGTCCAATTAGACTTTTGAATTGCAGGTCCACATCCTCAAAAGAACCACACCCTAAGAAACCCTCTCTATTTCTTTTTTTTATTGCTTTTCATATTAAGACGCCACATCCCAAGACATCCTCTTCTAAGCCTCATTCGTAATTAAATCGCGCCACGCCCGGCATACCGAATAGGCTGAATTGAAAAAAACGAATGGTGGGTGTGTTTGTGTGCTTTTCTCTGTGTGTGTGCAAGGCAGTCACATTAGCAGAAACAACGTATAACAATACACATTCTTTATACAAGAAAAGCATTTTTTGCAAAATTTGCTAAAAAAAACCCAAAAATCCAAAAATCCAAAAATCCAAAAACTCAAAACCATGGAGCCGGGAGGCCGCCTTTTTTGGATTTTTTGGTTTTCTCGAGGTTTTTTTGGTTTTTTTTGGAAAAATCCAAAAAAAACCATGTTTTTTTTTGGATTTTACTTGCTCCTGGCCTCAAAAACCTAAAAACACATGGTTTTTTTTGGATTTTGAGTGAAAATCCAAAAAAAACCATGTGTGTTTTTAGTTTCTGAGGCCAGGAGCACCTGAAATCAAAAAAAACACGAGGGTTTTTTTTGATTTTCACTCAAAATCCAAAAAAAACCATGTGTTTTTTAGGTTTTTGAGGCCAGGAGCAAATAAAATCCAAAAAAAACCATGGTTTTTTTGGATTTTTCCAAAAAAAAAAAAACCTCGAGAAAACCATAAAATCCAAAAAAGGCGGCCTCCCGGCTCCATGGTTTTGAGTTTTTGGATTTTTGGATTTTTGGATTTGTGTCAAAATTTGCAAATTCTGCAAAAAAAGAAGTGTTTTTTGCATACAATTCTGTGTTTATAAGCCTGTCCTATGCAAATAATTCATAGACATGTTTACCAAATTGCATTTTCCTGTGTTTTTGGGGTGTTTTTTTTATGTGGTGATGTGGAAGTAGTGCTAAACACCTGCGTTTTTCACTATTTACAGGTTTTCTCGCATAGGACTAGACGTGCAAAAACAGGACATCGCCTAGCATAGCCAGCATGTCATTTTAATCGGTATTTACGAGGGTTTTTATAGGGACAAAGCAAAACCTAGATCATGGGGGGGGGGGGGTGACCATATATATATATATACATATATAGATATATATACATATATATATGTGCGACTACAAATGAATACTTTTTCACATTGTTTCGTTGTATTGTATTCTGGTTCTTGGTTTTTTGGCCTGGCCCGGGGGCGTGGACGATTCTGTTTGCAAGTCGTCGCGCCACTTTTAAGGCCGACCCCCATTGAACTTGAGGACTCACCCGATACTATACCGAATCTTACAAATAGATTCGACATTCATGCCCCCAAAATGAACTCCACACACGTCAAGCCACATTCACTGCTTTCGCCGCTTGAATCCCACTTTTTTCGAAACCCACGACGTGACGATGACATTTCAAAGCCGAGCTTCCCTGTCCGCTCAGGTCAACGACTCCCTTCGACAGCTACGTAGCGTTGTCGACGAGCAGCACCTTCGCTGCATGCTGTGCGGGCTTGGGCTTATCTAGGGCCTCGGGGCTATGGTTATAGGTCGACGTAGGCGGTCCTTACCGTTTTGTAGCCGTTTTGCACCGCCCTCAGAAGTAGGTGCGTCGGCACGAACTGAGGACATGACGATAAAATACCTGGTACTGAGATTACATGCATTCGAAGCAGCAAAAACCCAGCGTGTTCCATGCCCCTCTGTGTGGAGCAGCTTGTAGAGCTCTTGGAGATCTCGTAATCGTAGTCGCAGTAGCTTCATCACCTTTGCGGCGAGGTTATCACGACAGAAGGAAATCCTGCTGGAGCTGGCTATGCAGGTCTTGGAATGTGGGTGGCAATACAGGTTGACCAGGTAGCCCTCCGTGTAAAATCCAGTATGCCCAATGTGCCTGTGAAACTTCGGCCTGCACCACTATTTCTGGCGCCAAGGAGGTTTCAGTGTTCCTTGGGTCAGTTCACGAGCCCCGGATGTGCCATGCACCACCACACTTCAAGCTGCAGGTGACGCAGTTGTCAGAGTCTGGTAAAAGCCTCTTCCGCCAGTTGCCGCATGCCGGCATATCTTTGTCGATGCCTTCGGCTTGGGGTTGGAGGGTATGGTTTGGGGTTGTTCGGCGCTGTTGAGAGCGAGAGAGAGAGAGAGAGAGAGAGAGTGCGAGCTTCGGCATGAAAAACATATTTGTATCTATATGTGTACAAGTTATATTACATATATATATATACTATGTGTGGAGGACACGGCCACACACACACACACGTACGTGTGTGTATATATATATATATATATATATATAACTATACCTATATCTATTCACCCGGCGTAGAGAGTTATTCATATATGTTTGTACAAGCAGGGCCAAGATCGCGTGATTGGGACTCAGGTTTGCCTTCTTATTACCGAAATGCAGTCGTAATGCATCAGGGGCAGGGCTCCTTTGTGGCAATGCATCACGCGCCCAGTATGTGTGGATTGGGCACAACCCCAAGCAAGCCCAGCTCAGTTCAACCGACAGCGGAGCTATGGTGACGCCCATGACGCAATCCATGGATGTGGCCCAGGACTGGGTTTAGAGTCTAGAGAGTCCAGGAGTTTAGGCTCTGTGTCCAGGACTTATGGTCTTGATGGACCTGATGGCGGTTAGGGTTCAGGATTTTGGGGATTGGCGTCGGGTTTTCAGGGTTTCGGTGGCCGGAGTGGTCTTTGTCGTTCCTAGGTGAAGTCGGCGTATCGGTTTGTGTAGATGAGTATACACACATATGCATGCTTGTGTTTGTATACATAGATATGTCTCTGCATGTATGTGTATGCATAGCTGCATGTACGGGCACGGTTGGGGTTCAGATCGTGTGTGCGCTTTTGTGGGTGTGTGTGTGTGTGTGTGTTGTGTGCTCTGAATCCCCCCCCAACAGCAGAAGCGGATTCCACCCTCCAAAGCCGAAACAGAATCAAACCAGCAGGGTTTAGGGTTTAGGCTTTTACGGTTTAGGGTTTAGGATTTAGGGTTTAAGGGAGTCTCCGCCCCCCCCCCCCCCCCTCACTGAAGCGCTGCAGGCCAGCCAGCTGCAGAAGCCTCCTGACTTGCCGGCCTCTTTCGGCACCAAAGGACTCTTTGAACGTCATGACAACAGGGCTCGAACGCAGCGGTTTTGAGCCTCCTTGCTCGTTGACTTAGTGCTTGTCTACACAAACTGCCAGTCTGGAGGCGCGAGCTATTTTTGAGTTTTCAGGTAGGTGGGGGATTGTGGGCTGGAATTCGGGGTCTTGGAGACTGCTAGGGCAAGAGTCTTTTTCTCCTCCCTTGCCACGGAGTTAACTCCTCTTCTACAATTACCCAGTGCGGGGAAGACGACACCCCTGCTAGTCTACAAGTGCCTGCTACAGCCGTGTGCTAGGTTAGAGGCGCCATGGTTCGAAACTTTTGGATCAAATTCCCTGAAGCCCTCTGTCGTTCACAGGACTCCTCACTCCGCCTCCCCCGGCCGCGCGCCGCAGCAGCTACTCGCATGGCATTTGAGTTTCGGTGTGGCAGTGGTACGGGGAGGGCGGTGAGATGGAGCTTTTTTGGGTCAGGGCTCAGACAACGGAAGGCCCTCAACAACAAGTCAAGTCTGAATCATGTTTGCATCAAAGACCTGTGGGTGGCATAAACTTGTCCGAGCCTGATGCAGTTGGTCCCTGCTCTTTGTAGCTCGAGTTGCACTTGATCAGTCGGCGCCCCAATCAACCCTACCTTTTGCACTGCCTCACAGACCCCCACCGCTGCCCCCCCCAATTTAACGGTCTTACCCTAAGGGGAGCCGTTTGGGCTAAGGGGTGAGACATGGCGAGACGTTTGGCTCAGTGAAAGGTCGAACCTCGGATACTATTCCGGAGCAGCCAGAGCAGCCTGAGCAGCCTGAGCAGCCAGCGCAGCCAGAGCAACCTCTGACTCATATTCTGGACCTGGGACTGCCTCAAGACTTTGGACGCGGCCCCTCGTCATCAAACAAAGCCCTAAAACGGCTCGGCATCTACCAATCAGCAGAACTTCCCTTACAAAAGCACCCTTTACCCTTTACCTCCCTTTACATGCCTTTGCGGCATAAGTTGTTCTGCGTGCGCCCCGACCCAAGTACCCTAAGCTGTGTTTGTAGAGACATCGTGCTTGGATCCAGCATCGTTCGGCCGTTTAGTTTAGGGTTTAGGGTTTGTAGGGTTTTTAGGGTCTTTAGAGTCTTTAGGGTTTTTGGGGTTTATAGGGCTTCATAGGGTTTATAGGGTTTAAAGGGTTTAGGGCTTATAGTTTAGGGTTTAGGGATTGCAGTAGAGACCACGTAGTGGCGTAGTCCAGCTGGTGCCCAAGTGGCAAGCGCTTTTGGAGTTGCCGGTCTATAGCTATTTCTCGATGGGTGTTTTCGGGCACAGTAGGGTAACTAAAAGGGATAAGGGATGTATATGGGAGTCAGACTTCGGCGATGCTGCTAGCGTTTTCTCTACTTCTGGCAGGAAACAACGCTAGAGGGTCCCTTGTGGCAATAAAATACCAGCATGCAGAGCGTGGGTAACAAAAAACCTAGGCCCTGTTTGTAGACACAGGCGTCACTGGCGAAAGCAAGCGAAGTGGGTGCACCGACGAGCTGCCAGAGCTGTGCCTCATCCATTGAGAAGGTTGTTGCCCTGCTATTGGCTTAACTTCATAGAGGGGCGTAAATTGCCTAAATCTAGGTACCTTTGTTGGAGGTATTGAGAGCATCTGAAGCCTTGAAGGGTACGACATGGGGTCTAAGAAGGTGAAATGATCAAAGTCTTCCTTGGTTTTGTAGCAGCGATTTACGGGCCGAGGGCTGAGGATCTTCAAGTGTGATCCGTGTGATCTCCCTGGCGCTTAGAAAGCTATTGCTGGTAGCTCTGGCTGTCGGAACGCCGTGGGGACTTTCGCGGCACTTTTTTTGGTATGTGTAATCTGCACACGAAGGGTGCCAGCCTGTAGTTACAAACGAATTGTTGCGTCAACTTGCTGAGGAAGTGGGCTTAGGGCTCAGGGAGTGAACTTGAGATTCCGAGCTTCTTACTCGTAGCTAGCTGGCGAAGTTTGAAACCCGTACTGGAAATAAGGTCCGAGAAGTGTGCACGACAGTCTCGTCAATCCGAGCTCCAAGCAATGAAGGCGCAGGCGCAATTGCACACACCAGGGTCGGGCGATTAAGGTTTAGGAGTTTGTTCGGTGCGTGTCCCCAATTTGATTTGATCCGCGCACTCCGTGCATTTACAAGTTGGAGAGAGGCTATATGTGTTCCAAATCATGCACTCTGTGCTTCTAGGGCCCAGGTTCTAGAGATTGCTTCTCGAAGAGAATCCAAGCCCCCTTCACACGGATTCTGTTGTTTCGGCACAGAATCCAGGGCATAACCTGAGGTTCTAAGACAGGAGGCACACATATGAATCAACACATATATACATCGTGTATACATATACATATATATGCAAAGCCATATACATATACATACACAAATACATATACATATACATATACATATATCATATACATATGGAGAACATAGTAGTATGTGCGAGGGTGCGAGCGGGTGTACCCCCGGCCGCCGCCCCCCAGGCCCTGTTCAGCCAACATATGGTGGTCCCCCATGCCCTGACCCCATAAACTTTAAGCCCTATATACCCTACATAGCCGAGAAGCCCTATATGCGGATTCAGGTCCGGAACTCCCTCACCAGTGCTTTCTCCAAAGAGCTGCCGCCGTACATGTGGCTTGGCTCCAGCGCTTCTGGTTTCGGGGTCTATATATTTGTTTTTCAATTCCGCGCTTATAAGTTTGACGACGGTCATTGCGCAGAGCAGAGCGCCCCGATGACTCATGACAGCATGCTCGGTTTATAGTCGCCGTAGGCTGGTCTACTTCCGAAGTCCATCTAGGATGCTAAACAGATGCGAAGCAAAGACCACTTCTTCGAGTTCATCCCAGCATTGCAAGCATCTGGTTATCATGCAAAACAAAGCGGAGATGCGGCTGAGACCTGCCCGAAACCTACAAAAAATGGCAGAGCGTAGACACGTAAATTGCAAAACTGACCCTCACCTCACCTACATCGTTGCTTGAGGGTCTTATGTGGGACGCCTTATGGGAAGCAGCAGCACAAACACGGCACTTTGTTTACCTAAGCTGGACAGCTGAGCCAACAGGAAGGGAAGCCGCTGGGCAGCTAGGCCAGGGCGGGTTGGGGGGTTTCGGCTTCGGGATTGCAGTTGGTAGGAGGGGCGGCTTGCATCACAACGGAAATGGGGGACGAGGTGCCTGATGATGATGAGGCCACGCCTAGGGGATGTTGCACTTGTTGAGGTTTAGCCGAAAATAGCACAAAGATGTCGAGTCTATGGGTTCCAGTGCACTGCAAGGCTGGAAGGTCAGGGTTCGGGGCTTACCCTGCCGCAGTCCGGTGCAAAGACTCAGCCCCCAAACCCTTGCAGAAGCCGGGGCAACACAGAAACACTGAAGAATGATGATTTGTGCGAACAGTCGCTAAGCGATCCCCTGTGGCCGTGCTGAACTGGCCATTGTCAAGTTGCATGCCACAGTGGACATCGAGTTTGCGCAATTCCTGGGCGCGGTTTCAGGTTTTTGGGCTGAGGTATCTTGCGGAACTCTGTAGAAGCCTCGCAAAACTCTGTCAGATTTCACAGTTCGGCCCAGGCACCGACTTGTAGAGTTCTGCATGTATTCCCGCGCCCTAGAAACCCTGAACCTTCAAAAGCTTCACTCCTGGAAACCCTACAGCCTATAGAGCCTTAAGCCTCATGAAAGCACGCCTCAGCAGGATCGTCTCGTCCAAGCCTTTTGCCATGCTCATCGCCCTCTTGCAACTCATTCTGCGAGTTAATTGGGGTTTGGAGGTTTAGGGTTTAGGGTTTAGGGTTTTAGGGTTTTAGGGTTTTATGGTTTTAGGGTTTTAGGGTGTCTAGGGTTTAGGGTTTAGGGTGGTCCCTTGTCGGGTATACGCTAAACATGAGGCTCCGCAGTTTGCTGGGAATGGCGCAGAGTCGGGCAAGTGTGACTCCCCCCCGACACACCCTTGCAGAGACGGCTCAGGATATTCCTGAATCTGGTGCTACTGGGGGCCGAGGTCGGCTGCATTTGGGACGATTTGAGGGCAGTCTTGTGTCAACATGAGATTCCAAAACAGGAGGACCATGCATCCTCCATATTTAAGCCTTTGCTAGCGCCATGACGGTCGCGAAAGGCTCCTATCGTTATCGCTCGCTGCTGGTGGTGAGAGTGAGGGTGGTGCTGTAGGTCCTGCAAAGCAGAAGGACTTTGCTGATTCGAAAGTAGCACCCGCACCCGCACCCCCACCACAACCACCACCACCGATAGGGCTTGTCAGCTTCCGAGGCACCTGGGCAACAGGCTTCCAAAAAACCACCACAAACATGTCTCCTCACCGAATAGGAGCTAGATTTCAGCGCGACCTGCCACATTTCCTTTGTCAAGGTGGATGCCTCTGCCAACCTTCCCTTAGATGTGCAGCTGCAGAGTTTCTACGTGCCCTGTGCTGACAGAGCTTATCATTCGGTGGTCTGAGGCTTTTTATTGTCGCCTTGTTGATGCAGTGAGTATGAGTATGACCTCTCACTATGGACCCCCCCGCTGCAACCTCGGGGCCACACAGGCCCGAATGGTGTGGGTCCACAAGGGTCCAGAGGGTATGTAGTATTTAAGAGGGTATCCCACCATCTGACAACCAGTTTCACGAAACACCTTGCACAAAACCCCCTCCCTTGCCCAACCATGGGTCTCCCCCAAAAGCGCGGGGGGCATTTGCAGCGGGAGGTGTCTGTATTTCTTGAAGCTACATTCGAAATGTGGTTCAGGACGTTTAGGATGAATTTCAAATTGCCACCTCGCCAAATCTTAGCATTGGCCTAAATATTGTACCGCAATTTCAGGGGAGCGTGCGCAGGCTTCAGCATTCTTTGTTTTGCATGCTGGGGAGCCGGGCGTTCCTGGATGTCACTGTGCCAAGGTCCTCAACAACATCGTTGTGGCCATTTTTTTGGTCGAAGTGGTTCTGAAGATGGTCGCGTTCAGCTGCAGGGGTCACTTCGGTGGCATGTGGGGTGTCTGGAGCCGTGGTACTTGCACGTACTTGCGTAAGCTTGAGAGAACATGATCCTTGTGACCTGATCGTTAGATTCGTCATCGTGGGGTCCAGAAAGGAATGTCATGGCATTTCTGAGCCTTTGTGACTGCCACCGTTGTCTGACTCTGACGCCGTACGTGAGCCGTCCACAAGCACACCCGCCACGAGGCCTACATTGGGCCAGAGGGTTCGGCCGACAAGCCCGAATTTAGCCCAAGACTCCTGAAATTCAGAAGTCCTACAGCCACAATTCCCGAAATCGCATTCGCGTGGATCCCAGACCAAACCTCCTGAGCTCAGGATTCTTCATGGGCCCTGAGAGGCTTTGGAACATCTTCGACTTCACGATTGTGCTCCTCAGTCTGCTCGAACCTGCTCTCAAGAATCTCTTTGGGCTTCGGGAACATGGCATCTTTGTGGTTTGAAAGCCATTTCGAGACCTTTTTCAAGGTATACAAAACATATGGATCATATTGAAATATAAATATACATGTATATATGTGTATACACATTTGCTATATAGGCTTTAGAATTGGTTTGCCTGTACAAGAATACGAAGAGTTCAATAATATCAAGTATCACAACATCACAGCAGAAGAAGTATCATGTGTCTTTCTGTGGAAGACAACTGCACGTCATGTGTTGTCATGTGTTTTTCTGGAAAACCAAGGAACGTCATATGATGCCATGTGTCTTTCTGTGGAAAGCAAACAAGAACGTCACATGTTGTCATATGTCTTTCTGAGGAAAACCACAAAACGTCACACGGTGTGATTTGACTTTCTGTGGAATCACGCACGAGACACACCTTGCCATGTGTCTTTCATGTGGAAAAAGAAAATTTATACAAAGAATGCACTTTGCCTTTTGTCAAGAATTGAAGAACCATGAGCTCGTTTCGCTGCTTTGTGGAACGCTCCCGAAGAAGCGTAAGGCTAGCGCGCAGGCTAGTTACTTCGGCTTGTGGCACTCTGTTGCAGGCCCTGAGTGCAAAGATCGGAGCCGTTATCGTTATCTGGGAACAGGAACCAAAGAAACAGCGCGGATTCGAGGGGCTTTGTCTGCGTGAGAAGTGAGGCTAAGCCCCTGGTCCTGACGCTCCAAGCAAACATTATACGAGGCTTTGACACCGCCGCCTTTGGAAGCTTGCCCTAAAGGATGGCTTCGGGAATCATGGATTTGGTGGGAGCGGGGAGGAGTGCCTTCCAGCACCTGCAAAGAGCCATACCTTCACTCTCGCTCCTCTTCTGCCAGGGCGTATTCCCGGGGGCCTTCGAGAAAAGAGGGTTGAGCTGATTTGGAATAGCAAGCCAGCTCAGGCCCGCGATCAGATTTTGCCCTGTGAGCCTCCCACTACCAGCTTGCGTTCGGCTAAGGGTCGCGTGCATGAACGCGGACGAGGCCGCGATGTCCTTACACTTATGACTTATGAACAGCAGAGCAGGACCAGGGTTAGGGGCCCATGCGCAAGGGCACAGTCTCTACCCTTGCGTGCCCAGTGTGCACAAAGGTGTTTGTTTACACGGGAGCAGACAAGGCGCGCAGCAAGAGGGCACGCCGCGTGAAGCTTGTTCACGGCATGCGCCGTTCTCAACTCGGAGGCACGCAAGACTTGGAAGGGCTTGGAAGCAGCCGGACGCTAACTTATGCCCCGAACAACGCGGGCCACAACTGGAGCCACGATGAGGGCGACGCAGTTGCAGGATCAGCAGAGAGACGATCTCGCTCGTGCTACCTCGCACGGTCCGACATCCTGAGTTCAAATAGCTTGGTTCTGTAAGAAATGTTTATGTAGTGGAACCACGCGTGGCCTCACGGAGAAAGCCATGTGCCCCGGTGCGTGCTGTGTTTTACAGGCCCGCTGGTGGCAGAATACGTCTGCCCCTGACAGAGCCACGGCGGCTTTACACCGGACAGGTCCTAACTTTGGACGACGCGCCGGCCAAGATTGCCCGGGACAGCGTCCCGGTCAGGACTTGACGCAAGCGACAAACCAAGCAAAAGAGCACGCCGCTCTTCGCCACGAGTGCCTCCTTGCCGGCAGCGCCCTAATGATAAAGAAAAAACAGGTTAGCCCTTTTTCATAAATAATGGGGGCCCCCAATTAAGTTTTACAGGGGGAGGCCCCTTTTAAGATCTTTCAAAATCTTTTAGATGCAATTGGGGGCCACCAGTAAAACCTAAAGGGGGAGGTCATCCCCCGCCCTCCACCCCCTAAATCTTTGGGTGGGGGGAGGGGGCTCAATTTGTTTTTCCTCTTTTTCCCCCCCCCCCCCCCCCAAGACAAGATTTGAAGAGGGGCCTGCCCCCTTTAAAGGTTTAAGTAGGACCTTCATTGTAAATTTTACGGATGCTAAATTTTTCAAGGTGTTATTAAAGATTTTTGAAGCCCCACCCTTTAAAGGTTAATTGGGGGGCCCAAGCAAAGTTTAAAGGTTTTAAAAATTTGTAAGGTTTAAAAGATTTTAAAAGAGGACTCCCCTGTTCAAATTTACACGGGACCTCCAATTAAGATTTAATTACTTTAAAGTTTAATGGTTTTAAAGTTTGTAAATAAAAGAGGCCATTTAAAATAAAAATGGGCCCCAATTAAGCTTTCAGAATTTGAAAGATTTTAGTGATTTTAAAGATTTTAGAAGTTTTGAAAGGCCTCCCCTTCTCAATTTAACTATGGGGCCCCCAATTCAAGTTTAAAGAATTTAAAGTCTTGAGTGAAATAGCCGCCCCCTCCCCCACGCCGCCCCCGTTGAATTTATAATCTTTTGAGGGGTTTAAATAATTTAACAGGGGGCCCCCTTCAATTTCAAAGATTTTGAAGATTTTAAAAGGCCCCGCCCCCTTAAAATTCAATTGGTGCTCCAAATTAAGCTTTAGAGGCTTTAAGGATTTTAAAGATTTTAACTTTTCCAAGGTTTGGAAGGTCTTAAAACCTTTGAAAATCCATAAAGAATAACTGGGGAGGGCCCCTGACCCCCCTAATTCCTTAATAAATATCTTGAAAAATTTCAACAACACGGGGCCCAGATTTTTTTTTGGATTTTCAAGCTTTTCTAAAACCTTGAAAGCCATTAACGTCCTTAAACAATTAAATGGGAAGGTGTCCGAATGTATTTGTTTTAAGGACTTTCAAGATTTATAAAGCATTTAAATCGGTCTGGAGGGCCGGGCCCTTCCCATTTAGATTTTAGAAGACTCCCGTTCAAATTTCTTCAAGGTTTTAAGGGTTGTAAGCTTTTCTAATTGAATGGATCCGGGTGGAGGTTCTGATATGTATGCATGTATTGGAAGTATGGTTACAAATAAGGAGAATTCATGGAAAAATGTGTTTTGGACCTGAAAAACACAGGCCTGTATTCCGACGCACTCTCTCTTTCTATATATATATATATTATAGTGTGTATATATATATACATATGTGCATATACAAACTCCCTAAACCCTGTGGGCTCTCGACCTTAAATTGAATTGTCGGAGGCCCCTTCGAATCGCCCTTTTTAGCCATGGAAGTATAGTTACAGAGGTATATAGCTAGCTGACCTGCGGTACTTGCGCTTTGCTCTACATGAAGCCATCGTCAAGCCTCGGCGATCCTTCAAGGAGATCATTGCTGACTTGCTTGCCCAAGCGATGACAGACCTGGACTTTTTGGACATCAGCAGCTTGACCTGGGACCTTGACGGTGGGTTTGGGCAGCTTGTGTGTCGACCTTTGGTAAAGGCATCCTGAACATCAGTTCATGATTTGGTGATGGGACTGTTGTCACTTGTCTAACGTATTACGTCATGAGGAAGTGCTCATCTCGCCAACAATCAAGTGTGGCCAGGTCCCTCTTAGCGAGACTAGGCCACTGCACGTAGATTAAAAGCACAGTGCTTCGCACTCCACGCCCCGGCCAAGGGCGTGTGCGTCAACTGCAAGTAATTGCTCGAACACTGTGTGTCCAAAGGCCAGCGCTTTTTGTTTTTGGCGTGTTCTTAAATCATAGTGTGGACTTTCATACAACATGATTGTTTGTGAACAATTTCGCGCACATGCAACTCATTCTCTGCCTGCGTTTGCATGCAAACAATCGCTCGAGGAATGCCAGTCTGTGGACATGGGTGCCACAAATTTCTTTTGTTGTTACGAAGAAACAGGAGTTCGACATGCCTGAAGCTTGATCTACTTGCTTTCTTGGGAGAGGCGCTCCACGAATCTTAGAGGTTAATTGCAGGTATACTGCTTCATCACACCAAACCTTACTTAGAGAGACCATGAGAGACCTTTAGGCTTTAGGGCTATTCGGTTTAGTGCTTGGTGTTTTGGGTAGTGTGGGAAAGCCGCCTTCTTAGCTGAGGCCACTTGCGCGTGATGCGTTTCGCTCGACTGGTGCGGGCATTGCGGGGAATTCGTGCCTGGCCCAAAGAGGAATTCAACTGGTGGTTCGAACGATTCATCCTAGTTGTTTTTGACTTCGGGCTTTCAAAGGGGTTACTCAGGATATGATCGAGGCTGCAGATGGGATATTTGCACTGACCGCACTTGCTTTTCTCCAGTAGCCAAGCTTGTGTTTGAAACTTATGCCCGATGACTATGACCACGTTGGAACTTGGTTTCACTTGTCAGGTGTGATTCGCTTGCTACGCTGCTTGGCGATCTGGGCTTTCCCATGTGGGAATGCAGGTTGTAACCGTTGGATGCGTGCTACTCATGGTTTCCAGGCCCGAAAGACCAACATCCCTGTCATCATCGTTCGGGCAGTCGCTGCAGGAGTCACTTAAATTATAGGCGGGAAGCTAGTCCCACGTTTGCCATTGAGATACTGATTCGTGTTTCAGTGGAAGTATGCCGCGATGTAGAATTATATTACATAATATTATATATGTATATGTATGATTCATAGAGAGGTGTACGTATGTGTAGGAAACTGCTACTTCAGCACCTACATGCATCTTGCACGGCCCGACCTGCCTGCACTGCTACATCCGTAGAGCACAGAATAAGTGGGTGGGCTCATCCCGAGACAGACAGAACTTGACCTGTGCATGGGACATAGGGCTGCGAAAAGTGAACTCAGGCCTCGAAGCCTTACCCAAACCTTGAACCCGATCCCAGGCTACATCTCTGGCTTGCGGACTATCTTGTTCTCCATTGTGCCTGGGTTGTGCATCTTGAGACCGTAAGCCGTGAACCCCTAAAGCCACCCTGAACCCGCTGTAAAGTCCTGAAGCCTTCAAAAAAAGTGAGTCACGTAGCCCTAGAAGCCCCGCAGAAGGTTTACAAGGTTCGGGTTCAGGCGAAGGGAGGCCCTGGTACGGGTTCCAGGGGCCCCTCCATGTGCACATAGTACCAGGATTTGCTTCTGAAGTTCTGGGAAGCCTTCCAGTGTTCTTTAAGTAGGGTTTAGGGTTTAAGGTTTAGGGGGGCGCCTAGAATTGGACGTTTTGGAGCTTCGCCCCCTTTCGGGGTTTTAGACTTCGTTGACCGGAGGCTATGGTTGCAAGCTCACGACACGCGAAGGTCAGTACTATGAGCGCCGTGCTGTGGACCATGGTGTTTCCTGGCTTTATACTCCTTCAAGGCCCCCATGGCTTGTATATCTTCGTTTCTTGTCACTCCTCAGGACCCTCAGCAAGACCATAGGATGCCCAGTAAGATCCCGAATCCCTTTTTCAGGGGTATAGGTTCTCTTGTCATCGCCGTTATCCGGAGCAACAAATGCTTCTGTAAGTTCGGTTGCTGGAAAAACCGTGCGTGTTTGTAGGAAGGTCGTATCAAGATGCGCTACACCAGTGGCACAGTTTGCATTCATTCAGGGCCGGGTCATATTGAGGCCTCAGACTGGCCTCAGAGGATGCGGTTTAGTAGGGTTTAGGGTTTAGGGTTTACGGTTTAGGGTTTAGGGTTTAGGGTTTAGGGTTTAGGGCTTTTAGATTAACCAGCGCTACGGCAGTATTAAAGTTTAAAGACACGGCCTAGGGATTGGAAAGGGTGTTGAGGCAAGATCGGGGAACCGTGTTTGTTGAGACTGTTCTTGAAGATCTGGGCCCTGTCACCCAGGCTTCTGTTGATGGTCTTCTTCTGCTTCGGAGTGTCCTTTGGCTGCAGGAACCCTAAACAGAACCCAGCGCCCTCAAAATCCACACGCTCGAAAGCGCCTGAGCTGTCCGATCCTGTAACACATCGTGAAATCCACAGGCTATAGTGCGTACTATAGTGACTACACATCACTGGTGTGCCTACACACACTGACACGCGTAAGACGACATTGCCGACAACACAGAAAACAAACAAGTCCCAAATTGCACTTCAACAATGACAACACTTTCCTCTTGCGTTGTATGAACCGACTCAATGCATCTTCTCCTGCGGCTTAGATTATGAACCTCTCACTCACGAAAGGGCTCAGATGCACCGGCAGCTCCTGCCAGGCCGTTCAGAGCGAAGTTGAAAGGGGGACGCCCTGCAGCACCCCTCAATCCTCGCAAGGAAGTCCATCCTTCTTGGAGACGGTACTGGAGAAGGTAATGAATATGTAATTAATCATGAAAGTAGTGCTACTCTGGCACTCGTCGTACTAGTCTGAAAACCAGTGGCAATGGAAGACATCAACTTGTGTTAGTCAGTAGACAGACAGCATGAAAGAACAGTGTGCACATCTAGCCTAAGTAAGCACGAGCAACATTACCCAGGACCAGGAGCCAAAGCACACAGCAGCTGCTGTCACCGAGCAACAGCGTTGACTTACTACCCGAAAGCCCCATCCCAGAGCAGGGTGAATATGTGTCCAAGGCTGCTTGCCCAGATATCGACAGACCACTGCCGTCAACAAGTGGACTTGGCCTGTGCGCCGCAGTTACGCCGCTTCTGGCCGCTTAGCGCTCTAGCTGGCCTGTGGTTGCGGGTTTATTGGCAGATTGAAGCTGAGGCTGTGGTTCTTAAAGAAGGATACCTAGAAGATTGAAGATGCGGATGCTGAAGGTTGTGGCATACCTAGTCCTGAGCTTCTGCCTGTAAGCAACAGCCTCCTATATTGGGACTGAGTGCACTTTTCTAGTTCCCTGCTGGGGAACAGAGGTCAGCGAGGTTCAGCTCTGAGGGGCTCGCGCTTGTTTGTTACACTGTTGACTTTTGACACCAACCACCGAGGCCCTCCGTCTCTGAATCCATGCTGACCCTGTTCCTCTCCATCACAGGAGGTCGGCTGCAGCCGCATGAGCTCTGAGTTTCATGGCTTTGTGCGTTTAGACCTGCAGACCCGCAAGAGCTTTGCTAAATGGGAACGGACACCGATCAAAAGCCTCGGGCTTTTTTTCATACCTCATCCTCAAACACCATCCTTCTCTTCCTGGTTGTACTTCCAAGGATGCCGAGGGTCTCGCGCATCATGAGTAGACACCGTATCTCCCTAAGGCTCCGAATAGCCCAAAGTAGGTGTTATTTACAGACTTTAGACCCCAATGTAGGTTTTATTTCTGTACTTGGAGCCCTTTTATTCGAAAGCTCCCTGCATGTGCAGGGATCAGTTGGGTTGAAGCTCTGCAACCTTTGCGCCCCTCGGAGGCTTCCAGTACCAGCTTTCTGCCTGGCAGCTTATGCAGGGTAGAGTTCAGAAGGGCTAAGGGTCTATAGGGTTCAATGACTGGGTTACATCAACTCAAGGGGCTGTCAATCGTGAAAACGAAACCCTGAGCCGCAAGAAGGCACGATCCCGTACAAGGCTGTTTATAAGCACCATGAGCTAGGCAAATCCGGAACAGGCTACCGCCTGCGAAGGGGGTAAACACTAAACTCTGGCCGGACCTTCTCCTGGATCCACTTACATGAGGACAGAACTGGCCGAAACTGGCAAAACTTTTCTTGATATTGCTTGCAAGAATGCTCATACACGTCCGCGAGCCAAGGAGAGATCTCGGTTTTGGCTGCGATGGCGTACTTGCTGTACATCGTTTTGGCGGTGTTTGCGATCTTAAATGTCGTGACAGGCCTATAAATGTTGCATTCGAGCTGCTCCGCATGGGAGGGTTTGGTGGCTCAAGTTCCGCTTTATTGGGCTTCGATGCGCTTGTGGCAAACAAAATGTGACTGCTCAATTTGCCAACAATGCCCCAAGACCCGAAGGCATCAACAAGACCATCTTTCGATCCAGGCGTCTTCTGTAACATGGCAATTGAGAGCGCGCGGGCAGACAAGGCGCCTGGGGTCTTTCTGCCTATGTTGTTTCTGGATTACTGAGTACGTCTGCCTGCGTGGTTTTGCACGACGCTTCACCTCACAGCATCAAGACAAAGAAGCTCAGTAGTGCCTCCCCAGATTGACACGTCAGTGCGTTGCCAGCAGGACATGGCAATCTTACAGCAGATGCGCAACTAAGCTGTGTTTGCGAGACGTGGCCTTCGACAAATGATGAATGTTTCCCAGAGGGTTCTCGGGTGGTTTGGGGTTATGATAAGAGAATCCCGCAACTGCAGCGTAAATAAACCTCCAAAGCAGAGTTGCCTTAAGCCTGCCTATCACCTGACTTACAACTGGACTATACTACACAGTTTGGAAGCAGGATTCTGCTCGATGCCCACAGCAGACTGCTTCATGGGTTCCCTACAACCCCACTCTGTACTACCCCCCCTAGCCCTGTTCAATAGCTTTACTTGGGCAGAATTACCCCTGAATAGCCTGAATTATGGGAGGAACCTAGAGGGTAGTACAGAGGGGGGTAAAACCCTGAACCCTAAATCCTAAACCCTAAACCCTAAACCCTAAATCCTAAAACCCCCCCCCGCAAACCGGGGGTAGTAGGGGAACCCATGGCGTCTCCTTGCCCAATCTCCCAGCTGTACTCAGGTAAGCACGAGGCGCAGGTGGAATCACTGCGGATGCTCTTCAAGGTCAGGCCCCGAGGTTGCCAGGTGTTGGCTTAGTTTAGGGTTTAGTGTTTAGGGTTTAGGGTTTTAGGGTTTATAGGGTTTATAGGGTTTGTAGGGTTTACAGGGTTTACAGGGTTTATAGGGTTTAGGGTTAAGGTTTTGGGGCTATTGTTGGGCAAAGGTGACGACAAGGGTTCGAAGCACGACAACTCTGTGCACTTGCTCAAATCACAATCTCCTTGAGGACTCTGTCGCTTCACTTGCAGTAGGTGCTTCGGTTCATACATGTTCATACTGTTTATAGGTGCTTCGTTGGGATGTTCCCTTTGAGACTAGCAGTCCTGAATGGAATTATCGTACCCTCTATTATAATCCTATGAAGGACTGTTCGTATAACGGGGAACATCCCAAGTTCTTCGGTGTTCACTGTTTCTAGGGGTTGAGACATGTGGGGTGGAAGGCCAAAGGAAGGATCCAGTATGCTGTCGCGGTAATGCACCTCACAAGGCCGGCAACACTGGTTTTATCTTCTCTCTTAGTAGTTTGTTTAGTAGTATTGTGCATTCCGTAAACAGATAGATGCAGAACAAGTAAGTATGAAAAAAACAATATATATATATATATATATGTATAGATACACAACGGTTGACCCCGAGAGTGTGTTTTGTTGCTATTTTGTCGACCATGGCGCCACAAAAACAACGATAACAAATCTCTCCAGAGCGCCCAAATGGTAAGGCTCCTGGGAGATGGGTGTTCTTGATGCGTTTCTTCTGTTTTGCGCTGCGCCTTACAAAAGGAGGACAGCTACGGAGGCATCCCGCATGCAAATCCAAAAAAAACAAAAATGAAATTCTGGGACTCCAATCGGAGTGCCCAAATGGAATGAGTGCCGGGAATGTTTTCGGTTTTCGCCAAAGGGGGTTGCAAGAATGACGCGCGTTGCGCCTGGGGATGAAGGACAGCTACTGACACAGTCCCGTGCACGTGGCACTCGCTTGTATTCTAACTAACTAGTTCTCCGCAGTTCGGCCCGTTAAATGACTAAAAACAACAATGGAACATTACATAATATTACCCTGCGAATACAGAGACCGGCGAATACAGAGAGCGCACTACGAAGAGAACTTTTTTTAAGGAAGAGAAGAAGTGAATGGACGCATGAATTATAGTCGTGGGGGAACGAAGTACGCATGAACTCCCCGTGTAATAAAGTACTATTTGTAAGGGCCTTTCATTAGTATTCGTAATGGCCCCTTTCTTCGCTTTATCTTCATGCGTCCTTTCACTCCTAGACCCATATGCCGAATTCGGCCTTAAGGCTTACAGGGTTGTTAGTTGCTGGTTGCAGGAGATCGACAACGATGGCACAAGCCTGCTGACGCTCCCGGAGCTCAAGGACTTTCTTTCCTCAGGGCTGGGAAGGTTGCGTGCGTGCGTTTGTGCTGGGTGGGTCAGTGCGTGAGTGGGGTGTGGGTGTGGGGGGAGTGTGCATGGGGTGTTCAATCGCTGCTGCCGGGCTATATGTGGATTTTCTATCTGAATGCCTGGCTCCGTTTGGGAGCGAGATTGCTGTAGTTTGATGTGCTAAGACTAGCAGTAGCCATACGGTGCTTGACCATCACGCCAAAAACTGATCGCGGGGCCTTATGATCTGAACTTTAACCCTAAACCGAAGCTCCTAAAGCCCATGGCCTAGCGCGCAGGGGCACTCCATGGGCTTCGGGGAACTTCAATAGGAGGATGATTCCGACCTTGCTTGAGGTATGTTCAGATACCCCGGCTGGCTGCGCTCGTCCAAGGGCAGACTGTCCTCATGAATTTGAATACATCCCTGCCTACAGCCACACTAAGGACACAAGCTTGATAATACAAGAAAACAAAAGCATGACCCCCAAGCCCTGAAGGAAACGTTGAGTGGCTTTAGACGTTGAAGCTGCTAAACCCTAAACCCTAACCCCTAACCCCTCTTTGTTGGCAGGAAGCGGTGAAGACTGCTCCTGCGACGCATGCGAATTCTGACGGTTCAGGGTTGGCGTGGAAAGTTGGGATCAACATGACTCCCTGGAGTTTGGAGCAACCTCCCCTTTGCGTAAGCCGGAAGCCCGAAACTCTACGAAGCACTTCCTGGAAATGCTTCGCGTAGGTCAGCACTGCAAGATGCAGGGCATCTAGGGGAGGGAAATGCTAATGGCTTGAAGTTTCATCGCCCTGAGCCTGCTTACAAGACATTGGAAGTAGGGCTTGTGGGGCCTAATTGGAACCCTTGTCGCCAAGGAGAACATGGCCAATTTCATGCAGTCTCTGGACATCTCTACCCAGGACGTTTGGACCCTCTTCACGTCACTGGCTTCAACTGTGTGCTGCAATTGGCAGTTCTGGTACGAATAACCACTGCAGCGGCATACCTCTGAGTAGGGTTCGTAGGCGGCTTGCGAGAGGGATTATCTAGTCACGTCTGCACGAATGAGTTTGCCACCTCAAAGAAGAAGAAAAGGGCCCAATTTTGTGAGAGTGGATCTGTCGAAATTCCTTTGTTGTTTTAGTTTCGGGGGAGGGTGGCGCAGGGGCTTGGCTTTGTGATTTTGGAGCTCTCACGCTTTGTAGCTCGTTTGGTTTGAGGCTTCATTGCTTTTGGGGTTTGTGCTTACATCTGCTGTTGTTTTGTTAAACGACTTCTTTCACGCTCTTCTCTGCACCTTTCTATGAAGACATCCTTCTTAGACGGACGTGATTTTCCTCACATTCTTTTCTGCCCTCTCATCCCCCCCCCCCCCCCCCCTACTCTGATAAAATCTGATGATATTCAAAAGGTCTGGGTGGGGCTGTTAGATTTTGACTCAGCTATTCTCCTCACCAGGATATCCTGCACTCCTCGCCCAGGTTTCCTGAGAATCCTGCACATCATCCCTGGAGTGCCCTCAAACTTCTTCGTGCATTTGTTCCGCTGCATTCTTTCGTACAGTACTCGTAGATTCTACCCTAATCTTCTGAGACTCCTCTTGCATTTCTCTCATGCTCCTCTTAGAACAAGTCTTTTCAGTTCACAGTTTACAGTCCCTTTATTCATATTATCGTCAAGTCTGGGAGCTCCACCAACAACAGCCTGCTGTTGATAATGTAGGGTTTGGCACTTTTAGGGCTTCATAACGCGCATTTGCATGCATGCCTCCGGTCTTAGAAGCTTAAGCTATGTCCTAGACCCGATGCCGAAACAGAAGATCCACGTGGAGGGGCTTGGGTTCTCTTTGAAAGACGCTATAACTCTAGACCCTGGGCTCTACAGAAGCACAGAGTGCATGATTTGGATCCTATGCAGGCGCGCGGGATGAATTCATTTCGGACTTGCACCGAACAAAAGCTAAACCTTTAACGCCCGACCCTAGTGTGCAATCAAGCCTTCGCCTTCATTGCCAAGAACTCGGATTGTCTCGCACGCCTCACGGACCTCATTTACAGTACGGGTTGCAAGCTCAACAAGTTTTCTGCGGACAAGAAGCTCAGAAGCTCGACTTCGGCCCCTAAGCCTACTTCTCCGCTATCTTCAGCAAATTGACACAAAACTTACCGTATCCATCAGACACAAACAAAACCGGAATCAACATGGTCATTTCCAGCGAGATGCGACCTTTTTTGGTGTTTCCCTGCGAACCCACATGCTTGAACATGCATCCAAATCCAGCGAAGAACCCAGCGGAACCCATTACACAGGCCGGCGAAACCCCTTTTGCGGGAACCCTGCGAAACAGGAGGAGACAATTCCTGCCATCCTCAGTGTCTAAGGGTACTTGCATGTGCCCTTAACATGGTAGGGGTATAGACAGGGTTCCCTTTTAAGGACCCATACTAAGGCATCATGTAACGACCGTAAGATTGAACCGCTGGTGGCTGCCAAGGGTCATCGACGCAGATGGCAGCGGAGAGATCACGCTGGACGAGTTTGTTTTTGGTTGAACCTCGGGCCGGTCAAGGGTTTTAGGCTTAGGTTTCCCAAGGTTCTGAGGGATTTAAGAGTGGCATTCTGCTTCTGCAGACACAGGATTTGTGCTGCAGTATGTTGAAATATCTACATATCTATATATATACACACATTTTCGGTCCAAGTTTGGGTTCGTAGATAGGACGATTTTTGGAAGTTTGCTGAGGCGGTGTAAATGGGGCCAGGCTAGTTAGGGCAACTATAGGGATGAGGGGGGGGGGGGGGTTTGGGGGGTTGGGGGTTTAAGATTCAGACAGGAAGCCCTCCACCACTTTTCCTCCAAGACCTTAAAGTTCAAAGACCCAAACACCCAATAGGTGTATTCATCCACGTCCACAGAAGACCAGGCTTGGCAAATAGTTTGCTTTTCTAGATGCATAGTGCCATCGCTAGACCAAGGTGAATTCATACCATACGAATGAGGCTAGTGAACTATCCTAGCTTTCTAATAGTCGTCGTCGTAGTAGTAGTAGTAGTGGTAGTAGTGGTAGTAGTAGTAGTAGTAGTAGGAGTAGGAGTAGAAGTAGAAGTAGAAGAAGAAGTAGTAGAAGAAGAAGAAGAAGAAAAGGGTTCCCGCACGCACACAGGTTTGGATGTTGTTTTTGTAACTGTAAGTTTTTCGTTCCTAAACAGCAGTAGAAACACAAAACGCACTAGTTTTTTTAAGGTCTCACCGGCAAAACTGCTAGCCTTTCCAGGCTTTTTTGGCTTTTGGAAAATATGGGTTGAGGTTATAGGCTTATATAAATACTTACGTGCACGCAGGTACATGGAAGCAACCTCAGTGTAGACAGGAGGGAGGGTGTAGATCTTGGGGGTGATCACATATGTGTTATATATATATATACATACATATGTATGCCGTTTAGGAATGCTCATTGCAGTTTGAGGTATGCACCTGCAAGGGCCGGCCAAAGGCGGTGCGTGGGAAGTGCTGCAAGCGCTGGGGTTTGCAGAAGGTGTAGGTGTGTGTTCCGTGGGTTGTACGACATAACTCTTGGGGTTTGAGGTTTATAGGTTTTGGGGTTAGGATTTGGGCCTTGAGGCCGATGTTGTTTAAGTGCTAAGTGGTCTTCTGCGCTGCTGTTTGAGCCTGTATATCAGCTCGGTAGACATGACTCTCTGGCACGCCCGCAAGCAGAGAAGGAGAGGCGGACAGAGACATCAACAGAGAGAGAGAGGGAGAGAGAGAGGTTAAATCAGCGAAAACCGCGGGCACGGCAGCAAACGACAGACATGGGACTCTCGCGCCCTTCGGGGTGGCTCCCCTCTGGGGGGCCTAGTGTGTGGAGAGAGAGAGAGATGTTAAATCAGCGACGAAGCACAAAATAGTCTCCCTACCCTAAGCCCTAAACCACTCTGCTACTTGTGGAGGTGTGCAGATGGCGCGCTTGCCGCTCACTCGCAAAATCCAGAGACGCAGACTCTAGGTTGGTTGGCAGTGTTGGGACGGTGGATATATAGGTTGTGTTTTGAAGGTTTGTTTAGGGCATTTCACCGCCCAGTGTGTTGGGTAGATAGAACTTACTGTGGATTGGTAGGGCAAGAAGCATTAGTTTAATGCGTACACATACAACTAATGGCCGTGATAGTCCCTTTCGTAACCATAAGAAATTTTTCGAGGATGCAAATTGGGCACCTGGTGCCCAAATCCCAATCTAAGACCCTGCAAGTATCAGTTATGTACGTTGGAACCTTTTTAAGCCTCCAAACCGCTTCAACTTATCCGCCCCAAACCCTTGAGAATTCATAAACTTAAACCTCAAGCCTTTAAGCCTATAACCGCTTCAACCTACAAACCCTCAAAAGCTATAAACCTTTATGCCTACAAACCCTGAAGCCTACAAACCCTAAACACCTATCAACCTATAAACCTAGTTCACTGAACTTATAAACCCTTAAACCTACAAACGTTAAACGTGCAAACCCTTAAACCGATTAAGCCTGACAACTTTGAACCCGAAACCGCTGCCACTCAGGCAGCACGAGACGAGCATCATCCGCAAGGAGATGAAATCTCTGCGCCGCCATGTCGACAGGCCGCGAAGCATTCAGGGCCCCAAACCTCAGTCAGGATCTTAAGACTTAGGAAACCTCTGGAGTTTCAGGGTTGAGGGTTGAGGGTTTAGGGTGAATTGTTCAGGGTTTAGGATTGGATGGCGTGAAGAGCTTTCGGGCTGCTTCCAAGCGTTTGCTTCGCCAGCCTGTTGCCAAAAGGGCTGTCTTGCATAGGCCTAAGCAACCCCAACAGCATGTACTTTGACCTCCCATGGTCCGAGTGTACCATGTGCTTGGGATGGGGTCGGACCTGCTTCTGGAGAGGGTTCAGGGGATTTCAAAACCCCCCTCTGAGACCCTATAGACCCCATAAACCCGACACAGGCTAAATACCCAAAACGTGTTCAGGATGAAGACGGAGATGAGCCTGGCAGCTCCTCGGCTTAAGGTGGTCCCTGTGGTATCAACTTGGTCCCTTCATGCCGGTGTTAGCCCTGAAGTGTATCTTGCGCGTATCGTTGCGTATCATGAGATTGCTGGATCCAAACGGTTCGCACGAGCACCGGCATACAGAGTCTCACTGTGCTGTTCGCTTTGGCTGGATGATGTGTCGGAGATGAACACACCGCTTCTTTCTGTCGATCCACTGTGGAACTGCACGTGAATCATTCAAGGCTCTTGAGCCCTAATTACCGTCTACTGCACCCCGAACCCCCCAATAACAGTTTAACAGTCAGTCTCATGACTGGTCGCATCGCAGATTTGGGCATTTGCAGTCTTTTTGGGCGCACGCACACACACACACACACACACACACACACCCACACGCACACGCAACACGCACGCGCACGCGCGCGCGCGCGCCGCGCGCGCGCGCACCCACCCACCACCCACCCACCCACCCACCCACCCACCCACCACCCCACCACCACACACACACACACACACACACACACACACAACCACACACGCACCCACCACCCACGCACCCACCCACCCACACACACACACACACACACACACACCACACACACACACACACACACACAAACACACACCACACACCCACACACCCACACACACACAACACACACACACACACACACACACACACACACACACACACACACACACCACACACACACACACACACACACACACCACCACACCCCCCACACCCCCCCACACACCCCCACACACCCCACACACACCCCCACACACCCCACACACCCCCACACACCCCACACACCCCCACACACACCCCCCACACCCCCACAAAACACCACACCCCCACCACCCCCACACACACACACCCACACACCCCACACCCGCAACCACCACACCCCCACACACCCCCCACAACCCCCACACCCCCACACCCCCACACCCACACCCACAACACCCACACCCCACC